TGGGTGGATGGATGGATAGATGGGTGGATGGATGGGTGAGTGGATGGATGTCAGGCAAGTAGGGAGAAAGAAATTGATAATAGATTAAAATAAAAGCCTAGGCTGTGAACCCTGTAGATATTATTCTCAGGGCTTACTTATTCCCAATGCCTGCTAAATTACTGGACAAAAACCTACATTCAGCTTAGATTTACTGAGGGCTGCTCGCCAGCCTCTGTACTACCTGCTTTCTTCTACAGGATCCCAATTTGTCTGTGCAACAACCTAATGAGGCGGAAATTCTTTCCACTCCTTGCAGGTATGGAAACTGAGGCAGAGGGGGCAATGCAGGGTGGTCTTGGCCACTGTGGCCGTGTCCTTCCAACTTTGCTCTTCAAGGCCAAGCCCACCCCACAACTCCCCAGGCTGTGATTAGATTTGCACTGTCAGCTAGCGAGCTCCGTGCTCACCCTGGGCAAAGTCCTTCTCTGCATGGAGTGATTTGGCCTGGCTTGCTGCTCTCCCCGGCCAGTGTTCCTTCTGGCCGATTTGTATTTTCCCTTATGTAAGTAAAGGGGGGCGGGGTTGCACTTGTAAAATTTTATATGTGTTTCCTGCAAATGGGTAGCACATTTGCCATATCAAAGAAACCCAGAACTCGGATAGTTCTTTTGTTCACAGGGCTGGCAGCCCTCCTGCCCCACCCTTCCCCACCTCTGTCCTGATAGAATTCCTCTGAGGTGGGCAGGCATCTTTCCAGCCACACCTCCCCGTCAAAGCACCTCAGCCAACTAACACCAACCAGAGAACAGTTGAAGGCAATTACTGGAAAATTAGCAGCGCAAAATTTTCTTTAAACAGTGATTTTCCTGACAGAAGCCAAGACATTTTAAATCTGATTTGGCATTCCATCCATAATTACCCTGATCGCACCCTTCCCCTAAATAATTTCCAGAATGATCTAAGTGAGGGTGAAATTGCAGCTGAGCAGTGTGTTTTTGCTAACAGCTGGTGTCACAGCCATGCTATTTTACCCCGCTCTGCATGTGGAGTCTGACTGTAAGTGGGCGCTTAGTGACTGTTCTCAGGAGTAAATGTGGCCCAGCTCTCTGGTGCTTTCTTCTTGAAGGCTGGGCGATGACGTCCTGTGCGTCTGTGAGATGCTGAACTGGGAAACTGAGGCAGAGAATGCCATGAGCACAGGGGTTAAGCCTGGCCTGAACAACACAGAGAGACCCTGTTTCTAGTTTGTTTGTTTTGTTTTGTTTTGTTTTTTCTTCCGGTACCAGGAATCGAACTCATGACCTTGTGCTTGCCAGGCAGGCACTTTGCCACTGAGCTAAATCCCCAGCCCAAGACCCTGTTTCTAAAACAACAACAAAAAGCCACTAGCAAAAAGTTAAAGTTTATATTATCTTATTTATATAACATTGTACATACATGAGAGAGAGAGAGAGAGAGAAAATGTGTGTGTGTGTGTGTGTTTTGCTGGGGATCAAGCTCAGTGGCACATTCATGCTAGGTATGTATTCTACCACTGAGTTACATTTCTAGCCGTTAGATAAATAATAATTGTGAAATAACAAAATTGTAGAGGTAGAGAATAGATTAGTGGTTGGCAGAAGCTATGGATGAGGAAGAGGGTCTGCCTGTGTCTGCAGAGGGGTAGCACACAGGAGAGTTTGGTAAGAAGTTGTGTATTTTGATTATGGTGACAACTGCGTGGATGTGTGTATATGATAAAACTGCGTGAAATGCCGCACACCTTGAATCCCAGCTACTTGGGAAACCGAGCCAGGAGGATAGAAAGTTGCAGGCCAGCCTAGGCAACTTAGCAAGACCCTGTTTCAAAATTTAAAAAAAATAATGTAAAAGGGCTGCAAGGTACAGTTTTATGGTATAGCACTTGCCTAGCATGTGCAAAACTCTAGGTTTAATCCTAAGCACCGCCCCCAACAAAAAAGTTGTGGAAACTATAAATACATGACACAAATGCAAACATGTAGAGCTGGTGACACAAGAATAAGGTGTGAAAAAGAGACCCATGTTCTTTGCTTCAGAAAAGCCTCCAAGTCTATGGATTTGAGGGTGGTGCTTGGATAGCTCATCAGAGTCTAGGTGTGCTGTGTTTAAAAAACAAGTCCATAGCTACAAAGGAATTCAAGTAGAAGACATTTGGGAGCCGGGGCGTAGCTCAAAGTAAAACACTTGCTTAGCACACACAAGGCTCTGAGTTTGATCCCCACCACTGCCCCCCAAAAGTTTTTTTATGAAGAAATCTGACATTATCATCCTTTAAATGTTACACCTGCAAATACGATTTGTATTTCTGGCACTTTTAAAATATGACTTGACATGCATTTTATTGGTTCATAATTTTTTGAGCACACAGACCTTACATGAAGAGAGGAGAGCTTCATTCTGACCTGGGGGTAGATTTCTGCCTCGTTTGCAGAGTGCCTTCCACTTAGGAAGTGTGGGGAAAGGGTGGCCTTCTCACCTTTTCTGTGACTGACATTATTTGGCAAATACACTGGACTAGAACTTTCACTTTCCACGCTGACCACTTTTAGTGCCTAAAAGGGAAACGCGGTCATGGGACAGTTTTCTAGGGACCAGGGAGATCACGTTATTCCTATTTCACACCAAATACTGGTCATTTCTTAAAAATTACTTTATCAAAGTATAATTTATATGCTATAAAATGTACCTATTGAAGGAGAACAGTTCGAGCATTTCCCCTGTACCGGGGTCAGGGCATTTCCACCGTCCCAGATGTCTCCTTACATCTGCAGCTTTGAATTATTGGTGGATTACATTATGTGCATGTCCAAGTACCTTTGCAGTGAGTGACAGTGCCTTTTAGAACTGTGTATATTTTTTATTAAGACCAAGTAAGTAGGTTACAGTCGACCAGTTTGACTTCTTTATTGGTCGGTCTTTATAAACATGTTTGTACATTGCTTGTCTAAAATAAACTGCATTCACCAGTAAGTATCAGAGGTTCTTCTTGGTGCCGGGAACTGTTTTGCCATCTCTTAAAATAATGCTTCCAAAGCGTACTTCTCACAGTTTAAAGTGTATTATGTTTATCTTAATTCAGCAGTCATATATTTCCCATCATGCACACTGGAGGATATACACATGACTAATGTGGCCCCTTGGGTTCCAGGGGGGACGATGGTAGGACAAAAACGCAAGCTAATAAATTTCATATGATTCTATTTTTTGGGGGGGGGGTACTGGGAATCGAACTCAGGACCTTGCGTTTGCCAGGCAGGTGCTTGTGTCACTGAGCTACATCCCCGGCCCTCATATAACTCTATAAATAAGTCTACCGAAAATTATGCATCTTAGGACGGCAGGTAAACAAATGGCGTTAAGTCCTGTAAGTTTTGTGGCATATGTTGAGGGCATGCTTGCTCAGGAAACTGGTTTCTCTGTCCCATCTGCACTCTGCCATCCACACATGGTCTCTCCTGAGGGCTTTCTGAGAGATAAAACCCTGAGCGCGAGCACATCCCAGGACAGCGACACCGTTTTAAACACCATGGTCCTGACAGCAGTGCATCATTTGGTGGTCTGCATTTCACAGTGAGAATCAACAGCGGGCTTAATCAGCAAACATCTACCAGTTCTGTGTTAAGTATTTCGGAGCACACTGAAGAAAAAATTTCCTGTCTCAGGGAGAAGACAGGTATGAACAGAGAACTAAAGCAGAGGTGAAATGAAGAACATGGTGCATTTCTAAATTAAATAGGGGTCCTGCCGAGACACCCAGAACAGACAGTACGTGCGAGGGAAAGGAGGCTTGCTTCCCACAGCAGAGGTACCGAGTGCCTCCAGCCCCCGAGGGCCAGGCAGCACACAGGTGCACAGCACAGGTTAAATGCCATCAGGAGGGTACAGTGTGAAGTCAAAGGGATGCATTTCCCCTCATTTATTTAGACTAGACTGTCTTGTATTTATCTGTATTAATTAAACTTCCCAATTTACATTAGCTGTGTAGCAATAAGTGAACTGGATCATACTGGAGATGGGCAGTTTAGTACTGTGTTTCTGTTTCTACATTTAATGATGTTCACTGTTTTAAATTTTCCCCATTCGTCACAGAAAACCGAGGCACTTGATTTCCTTGGGACACTATTGATGATCTTTGGTGTAATCGTAAAATGACCATACTTGGAAAGGAAAATGGGTAGAAAGCTTAAACAAAAGTGCTTTCATTTTCGCAATTTCTTGTTTTTGAATGTGCAGCCTCTCCCTTAGTTTTCCATATTTTGAATGGGGCGTGATGATACGGATCTCTTGTCCCCTCAAATGTATTCAGGTATGAGGAACATGAGGGATCATGTCGTACCGTCTCCCACCCTCTGTTTGGAAGCCACCATAGTTGAGACCCGTGGTTGTACCCAGCAGTTGCTGGGACCTTGTGACTGCTCTTGCTAGATCTAATGTCCTCTGGTTTTGAATATTAGGCTGGTCAGAGAGCAGTGTCAGTTCTCCTCCTACTCCTTGGTCAGCACCACAGGCAAGCAGCCCAAGCGACAACAGCCCTGTGCTGAAAGGTAATACAGTGTTTTCTCCCCTGCAATGAGGCTTCCTTCCTTTCCAGCAACCTGACGCTATTTTCTGGAATTCTTTACTAATTATCATTTAAGCATCCAGAGCTCACTGCGGGGCTGTGGGATGGATAATTTGGCATGCTTCTAGAAATTACCTTCTGACTTTTTTGCTGGCTTACTGTTCTAATTCATAATTCCCTTTATCGGCTTGTATCTAATGAAAGTGAATCAGATATCTCTCTCCATGTGATTGACTGCTCGCCATGTGATTGTCTGGCAATATCAAGGTATAAAAAGGTCACTGAGGGCTGGGGATTTAGCTCAGTGGCACAGCGCCCGCCTGGCAAGCATGAGGTTGTGAGTTCAATTCCTGGCACCAGAAAAAACAAAAAACAAAAACAAAGGTCACTGAGGTTTTCGATCTTCAACTAAAAATACCATTGCAACCATCCAGTAAGGCAGCTAACCAGTGTTCCTTACTTTTGAGACAGACCTTCAAAGAGAACATCTGCTCAAACAGCTCATGTCTGCAGAGACATCTCTGCTCGTTTGATCAGCTCTCACTTTCTCTTGCCCACCAGAAGTGAAAGGAAATGTCTATTCCATGATCATCAAAACGAATGTCCCACATGTTCTTTTAAGTTGTGCAAATGATTTCCAAAGGTTGCCCCAAAGTACAGTCACTGGACCCCTCCAGCTGCCCCATGATTCTTTCTGAGGACCTTGGAAGCCTTCTCAGAGGTCAGAAGAAAGTGGCTGTGAGCATGTAGCGTAGTTTCACCGGGGAAATCTTTACAATATCTTGGTATTCTCTATCAAGAATAGAGATCACTAATACACCTAAATCAGTCTTGCCCCATACAGTATCCTTGTATGACTACCTATATGCTGAGCAAAGAAAGACATTACAAACTTCAAGTAGTTCTCCCTACCTCCTGCCCCTCGAACAAACCATACCAAGTCTCAGCTTATCTAATAAACCAGGTGCTTTGACGGCTGACCACATGGAATTCAGTGACTGTTCCGTGTAATTATAACTTGCATATTCCTCTGCTTGCTGGTAGTCCCTTGTCTCTGTAGGAGGTACCTGTACACGGATTATGTCATTATAAAGTAGTGTATCCACAAGAGATTTTGAAGCAAAAGAAGGGGAGGGAATCAGAAGCATAAAGTGATCAGTTCACTGTTTTAGCATTTCAGGATCATTTGAATGAAAGGCTCAAAGGCCATGTGTGTGTGGACACAATCCTACCACTTTTGTCCCTTCACTCTGACTGCTTTGAGCAACTTGTCCTACCGGTATTTTCTGAGACTCTGGCCAGATGGCAAGCCCAGTCCTCGCTGCTCTCAGCCGGAAAGATACCCCATCAGAGAGCCATTTTCTTTGTGCCTCTGACACTCCCACCTGTTGGACAGGAAAAAATGCATGGGTCGTCCAACCCAGTGAATTTAAGATTCTCATGTGGAACGATTTAGATAGAGAGATAGAGATAGATTATGTACAAAGAGCCCCAGCTTACTTAGAAATCGCTTGCATGAAGCACTCTTGAAAACGTGCCCATCTGGAAGATAACTTGGCTGATAATCATGGTACTCAGGACATGTGGGCAGCTGCTCCAGTCAGTGAAAGAGCAGTAGGAGTGCTCCAGCAAGGCTGAAGATGGGGCATGACCCCCTTAGGGAAAGGGAAGGTATGCCAGAGCCTTCTGATGGGCTATGGGAGAGGGTGACCTTGGCAGAAGAGAAGCCAGACCTGGAAGGGAGAAGCCTTTCTGGGCCTGTGGCTTTGAAGGGTGAAAAGACAGCCAGGTGTGGGGGCACACGTCTGTAATCCCAACACTCGGGAGGCTGAGACAGGAGGATCCTTGCAAGTTCAAGACCAGCCTGGGCTACAGAGTGAGCTCAAGGCCAGCCTGAACTGCATAGGAGACCCTGTCTCATAAAGACCAAAAAAGTAAAAGAAAAAAGAAAAGCCATGCTCTCTGACCTGACCTCGTAGATTTAAAGGGATCCCTCAGAAAGACACTTGAAAGCACCTTGCTTCCTCAGCCGTTCACTCTTTGAGCTCTGAAGTCACCATTTCCGGGTCGTGGTGAAGCAGCAGGGTCTGAGGTTAGCAGCAGCTCTGGGGCAGTGGCCATAAGCGAGGTGAAAGTGGGGATTATTTAACACAGAGCTCCTTGTTCACCACGCTTTGGGCTCTGGTTTAGAAATGTTAACCAACCACGGGCACACAGGATTCTCTAACCTGTTGGAGGCAGAAGTCACAAGATGCCATTTTCTAGATGGTGCTGGCCCTGCCTACACAGCCTGGCAGAGGCGGGCATTCGGAAGGTGGGTCTGTTGATGTTTTCTTTTCTCTCCCCAGAGCCAGCCAAGGCTGCCTCGGACCTGACTGCCTGGTTCAGCCTCTTTGCTGACCTCGACCCCTTATCAAATCCTGATGCTGTTGGGAAAACCGATAAAGAACACGAATTGCTCAATGCATGAGTCTGCAGCCTTCGGAGGGAGGCTTCCGCCTCCCAGCACCGCCCTGGGGCAGGCAGAAGTGTCACGTGATCAGTATGCTCTTTTAATATTTACGTGCCATTTTAATAAAGTGAAAGGGTCAAAGGCCCTTATATTGGTTTGATCACTCTTACTTGGCGTGAGAGGTTTTAGTGTGTTCTCTCTATGAACCTCAACAGTCCAGGAGCAGTGTGCAGGCCGCCACTCTCCAGCCAGCAAACCGTCATGGCCACCGTGGTGTCACGGGCTCCCGTGAAATCCAAGTTCAGATCAGAAGCCTACTGTGTGTTAGGTGTACGTACAGTAAATCCCAGACTTAGGAACATTTGAGAATTGCAAGCTCTCACAGGCGTTCCTGTGTAAGACTCACTCTGTCAGATAGCTCATGTGAGTCAGGGACTTCCTGTCATGTGTCAAACAGCCCTCAGAGGCAGCAGGAGCCTCACAAAGCCCGTGTCCCCTCCTGTGCTGAGGGGAGGGCCCTGTAGGAAGATTCCCTCTTTCTGTCACACCACCTCGGAGTGAACTGCGGAAGAAGCTCGCCCCAGGCCCCACAGCACTGTCCGGAGGGGCTCGTGTCCTCCTGGAGGAGGAGCTGGGCTTCCCTCCACAGCAGGAGCATTCTGTGGAAAAGAGCCGTCTCTGCAGATACCAGTGTCTCTTTTTCTGTCTTCATGGTTTGAATTGAGAAGCATGTATTTCTGGAGCCTCTTGTGACTCTTTTTAATTAAACAGAGAAGCATTTGACGTGCAAAGTTAAGTCATGGAGTCTGTGTGGGGACTCAGTTTGGGGCTGAAATAAGTACCCTGGGCATGACGGGTGGAGAGAGATGGAGGAGACTGAGTCCCATCTGTAGCCCTGACTTGATGTCATGCACCACCCTGAAAAGACAGTTTGGGGTGGGGGGCGTGGGACTTTTGTGGGGTCAGGCAGGGCCAGGAGCAGCGGCTGTGAGTTTGGACTCACAGGTAGCTCAGATATTCTACCTCTGTTACAGAAACCAAAGATCGCAATGCTGACACCTCTCCTCCCCGCCCACATTCTGCTAAATGAGGGCCACAAATGCTTGCACAAGCCCGTGTACATCCTTTTCCAACCCTCGGGGCCATGAAGGATATGGAATTGGTGATTAGCCAAGAAATGGTTCTGCGTGTTCTGCTAGGCCAGGAGGACGCTCCTGGGCTCCCGAAGCTTTCTCCCCAGCTCTGCGAGGGCTTCCTGGGGTTCCACACAGGAGCGCCCTCATAGAAGAGCCGGACCACAGCAGTTCCCCTGGAGGGCTGGATTGTTGAGGGGGTTCCTCATGCAGGTGAGATGGGTTGCAGACCCCGCCAGTGACATAGCTTGGGTAGCTCTGTTGCCTTCCCAACCCAGCACAGCCTGTCAAGCAGTCTCATTTGTCAGAATCTCTCCTAGCAGGTCCCTCAGCCTATAAATCTTGGGCTTTGAAGACATCAAGATACACCTCTCGGAACCCCACTTCACATCTCACGCACTCGAGTTCTTGCTGTAACCCTGAACCCCACCCCACAGCCCGCATTTGCGGTTCACCTGAGAGGGATACCATCACAACCCTAGTCACCCCTCCAGAGCCCCCTCCGAGCCTCTTCCGCCACCGGGAAGTCTCCGAGTCTAGTGAGGCACTGTCCCCCCTCCCTCAGAGTTTACCCGTGCCTCCCCTCCCGTCTGCTGCCTGGCCTGCTGAGGTCTGTGCTGTAGGCACCTGCCTATACCAGGCAGTGCTGCAACTCCAGAGACACAGTAGTGTCTCCCAAAATCTGTCTCCTCGGCAGTCAGCCGGGGTTACCTTGGGTGTAATGGATTGATGATCTCCAAATCCATTTGCCCTTCGTGCAGTAAGGACCACGGGTCCTGGTTCCATCCTGAGATTGTTTGAAGCCATGAAAGCCTCCAGCAGCTGCAGCGAGGATTTGAAGCTGGGGGGCCTGGCTTCTCCATCCAGGTGGTGGGAGGGTAAGTAGGGGGCGGGGTTCTTCTATTTTGAATGGATTACTTTAAATACTACCAGACTGCGTTTTAAAATTGATCTGTGGGTGGAGAGAGGATTGTGGTAGTTGGACAGGCTTTGCTACAAAGAAGAGGAAAAAAATTGCACAGGAGGCATTTTCTCCCCAAATTTTCTTTACATTTTTGTTTAAAAAAAAGAAAAAAAAGCAAAGAAAGAGATTCTGTTCCCTTTCCCATCTGCAGCTCACTTGGCCAGGCTCTTGATCCCTTTTGATAGGCGTGTTTTGATCCGGGCTCACACAAAGCTCCTTGACCACCTCTCCAGTTTAAGGAGAAGCAGCTGCTGCCTGATTCTCTTGTAAGGGGCCTGTGTGCCAGCCCGGCTAGAGGGCTTGCGGTAGGACCAGTCTCAGGGCCCTTCCTAGCTGCCCCCGGCTTATCTCTGGCATGAACAAGACAGAGATAGCTTAGCGTCCTCACATGCAATCGCGCTTCTGCATTTCCACCCCATGTCACAAGGCCAGTCCGAGCCACTGTTGCCCTGGAAGCCTGGGAGGCACGCCGCACCTGTTTCTGCAGGGGTTTTCTGCGGGTCCAGCCGTCTGCACCCCTCCCCGCAGCCAGCAGAGAATACACGCGCTGAAGGCAGGCAGCCAGAGACCATTCCATCTCCTCCTTCCTCTGCCCCCAGCTGGCATGGGCTCTTGGTGTGTAGATTCAATCCCTTCAGAATGTAATTTTAAAAATGTCAAGTTGATTTTGAGTTCTGGGAGGGTGAGAAAAGTATCATCCATCCGCTTTGGAACTAGAAATGCACCAACTTAGGAAGAAGCAACACTCTCTGTCGGAGGTTTTTGCCTGAGAAAATGTGATCTCCTTGGTGCTGGGAGCCCCGGGAGCCCCGGGAGCCCCAGTAGCCAATGGGCATGAAGGCACGCTTCATCCAATGTACATGAGTCAGCTTCTATAACCAGTGTAGGGCCAGGGCGGAGGCTCTGAAAGTGCCATGTGAGGCTGCCCAGCCATCTGGGTGACGGTGGCACATGCCAGGCCTCGCCTGCCTTCTGCCCAAACTGCAGCCCGAGCCAGTTAGCTGAGCTCTACACTCCCCTCTCTCAAAGGCTGCTGCAGAAAGACCCTCCCCAGAGGCTAGCTCTGGCAATGGCTTGGAGTTAAATATAAAGACTATTTGATTTTGCCAGTATATCACAGTTGCACCTGTCTTTGTGATCAACTAGCACCCTCCAAACGGGCAGCGGCAGTAAACCCTCTGCTTCGATTTAAGCCACCATCCCCGTCTCCTGAGTGGTGCCACTCACAATGCAGCGACGGGGTTCCCTCCAGCGTTGCTGGAAAACAGACTTCGGCCTGGGGACAGCTCCAAACAATTGGCAGTGACTGCTGAGAATTCTGCACCGAGAAGGATTTAGATAAACGCGTCATATTAAATGAGCAATATTCTCAGTAGGTGTGGGAGAGGGTAGCAGCCAATACTGCCGCACACCTTGTGTTTTATGGAGCTTTTAGAGTTAACTATTTTTTAACCAAAAGTAATCAGAATCTAGAATCTTGAGAGGCACCTGAATAGATTAGAAAGACAAAGTTCAAAAAGCACATCATCTTTTTGAATTTTTCATATAGGCTATGTATTAATCCTCTCAGGAAAAGTTGGGAGATATTTTTCCCATTGGTTAAGTTTTCTTTTCACTCTCTTGGTTGTTTCTTTTACTGTACATATCATTTAATTTAATGCAATCCTGTTTGTTGATTCTCAGTACTATTTCCTGTGCAACCAGGATTCTGTTCAGAAAAAACAGTTCTGCACACCAATGTTTCTATACACCTATGAGTGTAAGAGTTTTACTTTTTTTTTTGAGACAGGGTCTCATTATGCAGTTCAGGTTGGCCTTGAACTCACTGTGTAACCCAGGCTGGCCTCAAACTCACAGTGATCCTCCTGCCTCAGCCTTCCGAGTGCTGGGATTACAGGCATGTCCACCACTCCCGGCCCTATTTTGTTTTGTAACTGGTTGTTTTTCTGTTTTAACATTTTTAGGTCCCTCAAAATAAAAAACCCAATCAAAAAATGGGCAAGTAAAATGAATAGAGACTTATGGATGGCCAATAAATACATGCAGAAATGTTTGCCATCGCTGGTCGTTAAAGAAATGCAAATTAAAACAACACTGAGATTCCATCTTATCCCAGAAATATTGGCCATCATCATCAAGAAATCAACTAATAACAAATGCTGGAAAGGCTTTAGAGAAAAGGAACATTTTTACATCGTTGGTGGCAATGTAAACTAGTATAACCACTATGGAAATCAGTATGGAGAGTTCTCAAAAAACTAAAACTTGAAATCCCATCTCACCCAGCTTTTCCCCTTCTAGGTATCTTTGCAAAAAAGTTAATGCCATCACATTACAGCAATACACGCATACCCATGTTTATAGCAGCACAATCGATAATAGCTTAATCTTGGAGGCAGCCTATATGTCCATCAGCAGATGAACGGATAAAAAATGTGGTTATTTATACCCAGTGGAGCTCTACTCTGCCATAAAGAAAGATAAACTTGACTCATTTGTAGGAAAATTGATGCGCTTTAGGACCATGACATTAAGTGAAATAAATCAGGCACAAAAGCCTAAATGTCACACGGTTTCTCTAATATGAAAAACCTAAATTATAAATACAGCACAAAATAAAAGACAGATAATAGGACAAAGGGAAATACAACTCTCTCAAATGGGAAGCGGATCAAGAGATGGAGCGGTGAAGGGAATGTAGGAATGAAAAAAGGAATTCAAGGTGCTGTGTACATGTACCAGCTCCATACATGTAAATTTCATTTATTTGTGTGTGTGTGTGTGTGTGTGTCATTTTGGAGACATGGTCTGGCTATGCAGTTCAGGCTGGCCTTGAGCTCACTTTGTAGCCCAGGCTGGTCTCAAACTCACAACGATCCTCCTGCCTCAGCCTCCTAAGTGCTGTGATTACAGGCGTGTGCCACCATGCCCAGCATCATGTAAATCTTATGTACTGTACAAATGTACTAATAAAAAAGCACCTCATTACTGAACTCTAGCCTAATTCAAACTGACTTACACAACAATAAAAATACACAGATGGGCTTATTTCCCAGCTATCTGTACAGTCAT